TGTGTGCAGGACAGTTTATATGTAGCTCTAGCGAAAGTTCAAACAGGAAGACTATATTTTGCACACTCGTTTTGTTGTTTATTACCATACCATGTCAAATCACTCCGCCACGCATGCTCATTCATAACTTCTCGTAATCATCACCTGGTCACATCTATCCAATAGCACTGCTCCACTCCCTCATTGTTAGCCTATCACATTGCTGCTGTCTCGTTTAAAAATGGCTTTCTCTTCCACGAGTTCATTCATGCCATCGTTACGACAACCCTCCGCCTCCCCATCGCCACCGAGCCTTCGCAGTTTCATCACCTCCTTCATCCCATCAGCCTCAGATGACATCATCAGCCATCATCCAGTCAACCCCAGGCTTCGCAGTTTGCCTCAGGTGACATCATTAACCATTCTCCTCATCAACTCTCGTCTTCACAGTTCAATCAACTTCTTCATCGCATTAACCCAGACGACATCATCCGCTAACACCTCCACCGCCAGTGTCTGGACTCTAGGGGGGGGGGGATAGATCTTGTTGCCGCTCAGGGCAGAAATCTTCAATCACCCTGTCTCCCTGTGGAGTTCAAGCGCCAGAGATTCTCTTACAATCATTCTATGTGACACATGTAAAATAAACCTTTCATCTTTCAATCATTTACTTGTCTCTCCTGATTGAAATGTATCAGTTATATTTAAATGGAAAACAACGGTAAGTTTTAACACTGTTAATCTCCAGTATGAGGGAGCCAAAATGTCTCAATGTAGTTTCATTTCATGCTACTTAGCTATGTTACTAATGACTGACACATTTTGGTCAACACCTCATTCCAACTTGTCTACTTGACAGCTGCCATAATCCACGTTTAAATTGTTGTTTTTAAATTGTACTGCCATGTATCACACCTGTAATTACCTCAGATGTCGTCATCCAGGTGAAGACAGCCAATGCAAAACACAGCCACTACAATCACTGCCAGAAATAATCCAGTTAGCAGGATACACAGTGTCAATGTTTGACGTATATGAACCTAATTAAAAAGATGGCGTAACAGACATGACAATTCAAAAGCATTGTTATAAGGACATGAATTATAAAACAATAAAACCTAAAGTATTCTGCTGTCAATTAATTACTTGTCTTCAAGCAGTATGACTGCTGTCCTTTTGTCACAGATGGGTACACAAACAAAATGTTTTTGATCATGAATTACATTGTAAAGCAAGAGTTTAAAACTGCAGTTCCGATGAATGATGTCTCGTGACCACGACACAAGCTAGATGATGATGCGAAACACATCCCCAACGACAGAGCGTAGCTAGTTAATGTTAGGCAGCAGCAAATACAGTAGGTCTATGAAGTAAAAACAGGGTAACAAGTAGGATGAATAGATGTGTCTTTCTTAAAATAAAACTATTCAATAATAATGAGAGGCAAATGTTCTGACATGTCACATTCCTTGTTACTCTGCTGTGATGAAATAAACCTGTTGGGTGAATGTGTGGCAGAATTGCTGGGGGAGTGATGTCAGCTTTTCCAACTAGACCAACTGTTTACCTAAAGTTTCCAGGTGAAGCTTTCAAACAATGGCACTGGAAAAATTGAAAACGTTCGTTAGGGGTGTCGAAACTATTTTTTACCTGGCTGTTAGACATGATGGTAATTATGGTTAAATGATGCAATCTACTGAGCTTCATTAATGATTCACTCAGGTAAGGACAAACTGAAATAACTCAACATTTAGCAGATGTATGACATTTGTCCCTGGAGGATGAATCCTAATACCTTTAGTGTTCCCATGACTTCCTGTGGCAACTCTGAGGATTATTTTGGGATTGATGTTACATATTCGTGGTGACCCTATAGGATGACTCCCAAAGACTTCTGTTTCAATAATTTTCACAATACAATCACATTTCTAGTTTTAAGTGCATATCTCCATGGCCTCTATTGGATGAATATATTATATCTATATAAATTATAACTTTTCCACCAGTGTACTCACGTTTTGACTTTGACCTTACAACTGTTTGTAACAAATGTTTAAGAACTTTAAAGGAACAAACAATAAAACTAAGCAAAACTACATTTAATAAGGCCGCTATCTAATTTTAATTCTAATAATCTATGGGCTTCAATGTGCCTCTGTTCATTTAATAACATACTTTAGGCTATTTAATGTACAACACAATGAACCCCATAGGTTACTGTTGTGCAAAGCAACAGGGGTATCAAACAACAATATAAAACAATCACGCTCCCAATTAAAATCTACACAAAAACCATGAATGGATTAATATCTTACTAAAACTTTTAGTTACAAATGCAGGTCATGTGACTCTCAGTAGAGCTAAATACGGAAAAGCACGTTGTTACTATGGAAACTCCAGCTAGCAAGCAGAAGCTAACTTAAGCTAGTAGCTAACGACACAGAACAGAAGTAGCTTGCTTTCAGCTCCAGGCACTAACTTACATTATTCACGCTGGTCGTCCTCCTCATTGTCCACTTTATGCTCTATCCGATTCCGTGACTCCGCCATGTTAGCATCCTCACTGCTGAGCCATCTTTGTCATCCATAACAAAAGGAACCATTCCAAATTTACATTATCGTACTTCACCGAAACAATTTAACACTTTCTGTAATTCCTTAACAAGAAACTTTAAGACTAACTTAGTTTTATTATGTCCAGTTCTGCACTTTTAAATAAAGTCGTGATGGCTGACTCACAGTCACCAATCGCATAACAAGCAACAGCAAAGTCAACGGTTAACGTCACTTTCGTCACTGAAAGGTCATTACGTACGCAGGGCTCTCAAGTTTTGAACTGAGTTCAGAGTGAGATTTTGGCTGCGGCGGCAGTTTGGGTAAAATCTGATAAAAGACACATAAATTCGTACAAATAAAACTATTTATTGACAACATTTCTTAGTGCAGGGGTGCTTATCTGCCCTCCCTGGTGGGAGATTGTGTGTGTGTGTGATTATGGTTAGTGTTGTGGTTTAATCTGGTAAATTTATGACTTTTTTCTTGTAAATTTACGAGTTTAATCTCATAAATTTACGAGAATAATCTCGAAATTTAAAAAAAATAAAAAATAAAAAAATTATGTGGCCCTAATCCTCCGTCGTAAAATCTTACCCGGATACAGCAATGCTATTTATTGATTGGCTGTTGGGTAGCTATATTTCTTTTTTTGATTAGCTGGTGCGTGGCAAGCTCCTTCTGAACTCTATGGGAAACCCCTTTGATTCCTATCTGTTCCATAGTTTAAAAAAATAGCGGAGCAAGTTGGTGGGCATTATCCTGGTAATTTATCTGCGTGAGAAATACAAGGTGTGAGCGTGTGAACAGGTTGAAATGTGTGTTAAGAGCATTGCATACTTCTATATAATAACCTATATTTGGTTTATTATACACAATTTAAAGTAAAATTCTACATTACTTTAATTTGAAAAAAATATTGTGATCCAAAAATGTCTGAGGGTCCCTTTGATGTTAGCTTTCCTACATCTATTATAGCAATCCTTTTTTAACCGTAGACTGTAGCCTACACAATGGGTTTTTAGACACAGCCTGTAGTATAATCTTACAGATTGGCTAGCACAACTGCTGTACTGCAGGTTAAGTGACCCATTTAAACTCAAAATCAGATACCTTTCCTTCAAAGATCAATAGCGCACCGGATGTAACCAAATACTGAAATGTGTTATTTGAACACAATCACTAGCCAAGGCCACTGTTTGTTTACTGTTAACAGAGTAAAGGAGTGAAAGTAGAATAGGCTTAAACTCTCAGGCATGAAGGATACACAAACAACCTGTCAGTGAAATGAGATTTGTGTAAACTACCAGCTCAGGCTGTAGATAACTGTCTATTTAAAATTTGGATACCTATTGACGGCCTCTATATTGGGTCTGACGATTGTTCAAAAAGAATCACAGTATTAAAATATTTAAGCATCTACTGTATTAAAGCACATGTGAAGAATATAGGCGATACCATAACCCGAAAAATGAAAACAATTTTTATAACTTCCTGATTTATTGCAGTTGTAAAGCCATCATGAAACTGACAAGCACATAAAACAGTTGGAATAAAAAAAACATAGATACAGGTACACACAAAGAAGAAACTGAAGTAATTTCATTGAAAACACAATGCACAATAAATAACATGCGTAGAAATGTAAAGGCGATGATGCAGACCGTTCAAGATGTATGTGCATGCTTCAATAAATCATCAATGTTGCCACATTATTTTACAAAACTTAAGGCCTTGAGATTTCCGTTTGGCATTAGTATTCTGTCATCGATAGGGATTCCCGGTGATATGTGGAGGATCATCACTGCACAGTTTTGGACTAAGGATATATTAAATATTGAAAGTATTCCACATAAAACAAAGACTTCATCTTAAAATTTGGCAGAAAAACGAGGGCGTAGATGGCCTAGCGGTTAGGTCGCGCCCCATGTACAGAGGCTATAGTCCTCCAAGCGCGCAGCCCGGATTCATGTCCGACCTTTGGCTCCTTTCCCGCATTTTATTCCCCACTCTCTCTCCATAGATTCCGGCCTTTCCACTGTCCTATCAAATTAAGGCAAAAAGCCCCCAAAAAAGGGGACACACTTGGAAAGACGTTGATAGATCAGTCTAAAAGTCATGGAAATCTTCCAAGTGATTTAGCATGTTTTATCTGAGTAGAATGTATGTAAATTGATATTACCGATAATTTGTCATTACAGACGCTGCCATACGTAGACATTTAAATGCACTCACAAATACATACAGTTGTGCCTGCACTTAAGCGCTTTGGTCAAGTGTGACAGTGTGTGAAGCCGAGCAGTCGAAACACAGATTCAGTCAGTCCTGCATGTGTGAAAAGAGAGACATAAACATGAAAAGGCACTGAGGAGAGAGGAAGAGAGTAGAGGCAGCAGTGAAGGGCTGACGGTGAGCAGATGTGTTTCTGCAAATCAAGAGTCCTCCAGAGTTGTAGTCCCTGTATCCCATCATGCATCATCTTCTGATTGGTCATCAACCCTCAGCCTCTCTCGCTCTCTGTGCCGCTGGATGGCCCGCCAGATGCGGCAGAGGACGCCACCCCTACCGGGAAAGAAATGTGAAATATGATAGATGTATGCATAACGTATTCTGTATGAGGATGTCAAAGGCTCTTTTGCTTCTTTTGGATGGAAATACTTATCATCTGTTTATTTTTAAATCTAAATCTAAGGTAGTATAAGACATTATGTAGACCGTTTAAAAAGAGAGCTGATTAAAAAAGTCTCAGTTTAACAGTAATTATGATCAGCAGGCTTAGAATACATGGAAAACTTTTCTACAACTATTTGTTAATGACACACTGATGTGTCAAAGCTTTCAAAGATGAGCCCACCACGCCTGCTGAGTTCACGTTTTAAGGTTTTCTTCTCTTGATGATGTGAACGCTGGACATTTCTTTAGAACCCGGCAAACTTAATGTCAAGATAGCCTGAAGCTTTACGAACACTAAGTTTACTAAATAACCTTGGTATCTAAATGTAAATGAAACCCTGTTGTTTCTTAGAACCTGCAGACCAGGGTGTGGGCCTTGAAGGTACCGTTTTTATTTGTGCTTCATCGTTCTACACTTTCAGAACTGTCAACACATCTTCACATCATAGTTTTTAAAGACTTATTAAGACCAAAAAAAACACGTTTGTTGATACCTGAGATGAAGACAGCGGAGGTCATCTCTGGAAACTTCATTTAGAATGTCAGTCAGTGTGTATTCCTCCAGTACGAACTGCAATAGAAGCACACTCAGCCATCAGGTTAATGCGTAAAATAATGTGCTTAGGTAATAAACTAAAGTTCAAAGGCTAATTGGTACTCTACCTTATCTATTGTGTCAGCTTCTGCTCCCTGCTCTTTCAGCCAATCGGTGAGCTGCTTATCTGGCTCGTGGTCCGCTGGGATGTGGAAGATGGATGGAGGGGAGATGTCTGTAAGACAAATGGAGGGTTTGAAAAGGAAGAGACACGCACACACACACACACCACCCACGCACACACACACACGCACACACACACACGTTCGGTCAGTTTGTTTACCCGGTGGTTTGTGTCTGACTCTGACCAGCTCCAGGTCATGTGTTCTCTGCTGCAGGGTGGACTTCAGGACGTGCTGGTACTCCTTCTCCTTTTGCAGCAGCTCCTCCAGCAGCCTGCAGGGGGCACCATAGAAAACTGTGACGTCTTTATTATACAGGCGTTCAGTAAGGAGGTCAGGGAAATAGAAAGTGATCATAAAGCTAAAAAAAACTGCTCCTTTCTCCTCCACTCTGTCCTCTTGAGCAAAATTTAAAAAACCTACAAAAATACAAACAAAATACCTTTCAAATTAAAAAGTGAATTCTGATCATCCTGGTCATCAAAAATTAACCTGGGATTACAATTTTAAAAAAAAGCCTAAACTATTAAGATACATAATAAACATCGCACAGAAAGTAAGGAAATTTGTGTTTGGTTGATTATTTCTTTGTGGTAACAACACTTCTGAATAACCCAGAATAAGCTGTTTGGCATTGGCAGAGAAGATTTGGCAATTTCTTTTGGGCACAACCCACATGCTCAGCTCTGCTGCTCATCCCACAACTGCATGTTCCTTACAAATGTGGCCCCATTTAAAAGGGAAATACAGGCGTTCCAACAGTATAAGATTTGCATTGTTACAACAAAAAATAATCTACCAAACACAAATGTCCTTACTTTTTGTGCGATGTTTATTTAAAAAACTCGTAAATAAATAATTAATATAATTATTCAAATTGTAAAGGTTTAAGATAAATGATACATGCTAATGGCTGTAGTTTGATATCTACTATGTTATACAGAAGTATGATTTATAAAAATATCCACCTGCCAAAATCTACATACAAAACTTTCTGTATGCGCATGTAAAATAATGCACATTTTTTCTTATTATACTTTGTAATGAATCAGTCCAACACAGTTATCATGTAATGGAACAAGTTTCCTTACTACTGGTCTAATAAGCACAATATATCCTAACATCCGTCTGGAGGACATAGATATATTTTCAGTCACAGACATAAACTTCTAATCTGCTCAATTTGTTCAAATGTTTGTTAAATCAGTGAAAAGAGGGTGAAACTCTTCAAGGTTTCAAAATGATTGAGAGGACAACATTTCCTTGTGTTTATATGGGGGCGGCAGAGGCATGCCTCTCAATATCAGAGTGTAAATCAGAAGAAAAAAAAAGTCATTATCTGATCATGCAGTGTGAGTGATGAAATATGTCCTAAAGTCATGACGCACAACAGCTCCTGACAGGTTGAACGCGATTAACGTGGAGCGTATTTCGCAAGAACAGAGCAAGCGAACCGTTTCCAACCACTCATGGTTGTTTATATAGTCTCACTGCCTACACCCAGGTGGAAGTGATACCAAGAACAAGAAATACAAGCACATCCGTCCTTTATATTTTCCAAGGTTTTTTGGGGGGACTTTTTTGATGCCTTTATTTGAGAGAGGACAGAAGATAGAGACAGAAATCAGGGAGAGACAGAGTGTGGAGCGGCTCAGGTAAAGGAGCCACAGGCCTCCGTACATGGGGCGCGAGCACTAACCACGAGGTTACCCGCGCCCCCCTCTGTCTTTTCATTTTGAAGTAAATTAAATATTATCGTGGTGTAATCCAAAAATACAAATAAACACATCTTTTCAAACATTTTTATAATGTCTGAACTAAACAGCTTCAAAAACTTTCCACCATATCGCAAAGTTTCAAAGGAGGTTTGATAACACCAAAGGGGTGGATGAAAGCAGCTATCTGTGTGGAAGTCTTTAAGAAAATAAACCACAAAGACACCACAAAGGCTGTGACAAAATGCTACAGCGACAGACGTGTGGACCTCAGCCAAGAGGAAGGCCACTTAACTTGAATACTTAAAATAAAAAATGGACAGAACTGATAAGAGACTCGTCATTCACTGAATAGTAACGTCCATGTATTCAAGTGTTTTGGAAAGTGGACACTTTAAAATGTGAGATCTGCAAAGGTCTACATCTGTCTCCCTCTCTAGTTAGTTAAAAGGTCTCTTTAATGCTTTGGATGTTCACTTTTATAATGTGTGGTTGTGAAAGTATTCCTCAATCATCGCCAGCTCTTATCATCATTTCATTTGGTTCCGCCATCACACAAACTGGAGGAGCATTCCAGGAGAAAGGCGTTCAGTATGTTTGCTATTTCAGCAAAAGCTGCCTCCCCCACCTTTTCTCTTTTTTTTGTGTTTACGTGGCAAGAAAACATGAAGTCAAGAAAATGAAACTCATTTTGAACTTTCAGTCTACATCCATGCTACCAGCTTGGACTGTACTTAGCCCTTTAAATTTATATGATATAGAAAAAATAAGGTTTGTTGTGAATTTCATGACATCCTGTATTGTTGATGTCATGAAGTTTCACTACAAACATACATGATTTAATTTCTGAGGTAAGTCTCTTAGGTGCATCTTCTTTGCAAAATATTTAATATATTAAATATATCCAAATATTTGTGGATTTGTTTTACATTTATATAGAATGAAATATATTTGTGTGTGCATTGAAATACATTTGTGAATCCTTCTGTGTGCATTTGTGAATATTAAGACTGATCTAACTCCATACCTTTGTGTTAAATTTCATGGAAATCAATTTAACTTTGGTGAATATTTCTAAGGCAAACACAAAAGTGTCAACCTGATGATGCCACAGAAGAAAAAGCCAAGGGATCAACAAATTCACGAGGACTTTACCTCTCAATATGACTTTCATGAAACCTTTGCCCGGTGTTATTGTGCAAACTACCATCGATTATTTGGTTTTTCATTCTAACTGGTGTCATTTAAAAATTGTTGGAGTGGTTAAAAATGGTAGAAGGTTAAGATTTAGTTAAGTGGAGATTTTGTGGTGGAGCTTTTTATTTTGACTTTAACATCATCTATTTATGTAACCTCAGCGTATGTCATCACTCTGTGGTATTCAACATGTGTCACATGCAACCTTAGAGGTTTGCTTTCTTTTGTTTTCTGTGTGTGTGTGTGTGTGTGTGTGTGTGTGTGTGTGTGTGTGTGTGTGTGTGTGTGTGTGTGTGTGTGTGTGTGTGTGTGTGTGTGTGTGTGTGTGTGTGTGTGTGTGTGTGTGTGTGTGTGTGTGTGTGTGTGTGTGTGTGGGGGCATTTCGTGTCTGTGCAGGTGCACAGTCTCTTTGTCTCATGACCTCTTATTCATGACTTGATTTCATAAAAAGCAAGCGTGCCTTCAGGCAATTTTTGTGTGTGTGCAGGAAGTACAGTAGTATTATTCAAAAGCATTTCCTCAACTGAAGTTTCCAACAACAAAAGAAAACTTTGGCTGTTCTATTTCAAGAGATACCTATTGTTTTCTATTTGTGCATCAGTGATCTGCAGAGGTGTGACTTTGTGCTAGTATGTTGCATTTCGTAACTTTACTCATATAATAAAGACTCTAGGAGCATGCATGGGTTCAAATCCCTGTGAATGTTTTATTTCAATAAAACTGAAGATGCTGTTGTTGCTTGTTGGGAAATAAACGGCAATCTGGGGCCGGATTCACAAAACCTTCTTAAGTGCTGATTTCTTTTTAACTTAAGACAAAAGTTAAGAAGATTAGATATTTTCACGAAAAAAGTGCTTTTTTTTCAACTTTCTTCATACATTTTTTCCTAAGAAAATAAATAACATAATGTAAGCCTTTAAATTCATTCATTTAAACACATTTGAGACAATCGATTTGGATTTTCAGTTTTAGTAAACTGGTTTAGGGTTAGGGTTAATTTATTGTTAATTTGTTTATGTGTCAACACCGAGTCAGACAAAGAAAAAAATCTTACCTATTGGTCTCCTGTTTGAGCCTCCCCAGTTGAGCGGCAAGTTGATGATACGGGCGCTGGTGCTCCTGGGAGTGGGCAGAGTTTAGCGTACTGGTCACGGATTGGATGGGGTCAGCGGTCCCGGTCCCGGAGTCGTCAGCATGAGGAGCTACAACAGGACCAAACTCGGCTTCTTCTTCATCCACTTCGTCTTCCTTCTCTGCTCCCTCGCACTCTGAGGCCGGGCCAAAGTGGGTCTGCAGCTCTGAGGGTTTAATGCTTGAAGGTCAATTTCAAGGTCCCCACATTTGACTGTATTTTTCAACCGCAGGGCTCTTCACACAGGACCTTATGTTTTGAGTCCACATGACATCTCATGAATATTTACCCTGATATTTATGTATAAACATGCAGATACATGGCAGATCGCTTCTGCGTGTGTCCATTAGATGGAGGTGAACACTCAGTTTAGACTGCAGCCATCTGATGCACCCACCTGGTATCAGGATGGTGATGGCAGCCTGCACAGCTCGGCGGATGATGTTGTCCATGGCAAACATCCAGTGAGGTTTAATGTGATGGTTTCTCAGGACTTTGTTTACCTGAGGACGTCACACATTAAGAAACAAGTATATATATTTAAAGTTAAGATAACGCCCTCACACACTGAAATCACACACTAGTTGCATTTAATTCTACATCTCTGTACTGACAAGTCAGATTAATCACATGCAGCTCGAAAGTTAAATGAACTGTATACATGTAATATGGGACATGTTTGCGCAGCATTATTACAGTTGTATCTGAAAAAGTCAACATGCAGGACATTTGTCTTCCAATTTGCTTGCACTTTTTTAAGGCACTGCCTCTCTACACTCTACAATAATTATAATATAATAGTCTTCTAACCATCCTTTATCTAGCCATTAGCCAACCACAAACCAACATGCAAATTCCACACAGAGAGGGGGGCTTCAAACCAGGAACCTCCTCGCTTTGAGGCAACACCTCTAATCACTGCACCATCATACAACAACACATATTGTAGTCCTGTATATGAATGTTTAGAAATAAAATGAAAACAAGAGTCCCATTTTTTCAAAAAAATTACTTAAATCATTTCTTTCTAGAGTACATAGGAAGATGTTGAACTAAATCTGAATAAAAAGAACTGATGTTAGCTACATATATCATTTTTGAAACAACAATAATTTGTGTCTTAAATGTTCTTTTACTTGTTTTCATCCCCTGTAACCCTGAATACAAGCTTGTTAAAAAGAAAAATATATTTTTATAAGGCTTATTAGAATCTGTTTTTAGTGTACCATTGCGGCTATGGACTGACTCAGATGTACTGTATGAGGTTCTGTAGGGATTTAGGCTGTGTGCGGAGCTTACCGAGTCCTGAAAGCCAAAGAGGACCAGCTGAATCTGGTTGATGGAGGTGGAATCGAAGTCCAGGTCCAGCTTGAGCTTGGAGATGGTGGCGGCCATGACACGCCTCTCGGGGGAATGGATGAAGTCTCGGAGGATGCAGATGATCTGCTTGATGTGGTCGACAGACAGCTGGAGCTCCTCAATGCCCTGTACAAACACATACATGTACATATTTAGACAGACATTCACAGATGTTGATGCTGACTGAGCACCAGGGTATCAATGTGCCAATGGAAAGCATAAAAGTCTGATAGTTGGTAGACAATGAATGCCAGATTGATATAAATGAAGGTTTTTAGACCTTTTAAGAGAGACATTTGAAGATATTCTTTTCAAACATTTGCTTCAACTAACACCATTCAAAGGTTTTAATAACATGTACCATCAAAGTCTGCCAGGGCAGGTCAGTAAAGCAGCCGTCTCTTGTGCCCCCTGGTGGTTGTACCCAAAAAGACACCGTGGCCGAAAACGAATACAGGCTTCTTGTCTTGTGTTATGAGTTTAAATGATATTAAAACTTTATAATACACATAATAAAGTTGACACTTCTGGTCAAATTGACTTGTTCTAACAGGTGGGATAAAAGCATCTGAAGCTTTTCCATTATTAATGTGGTCTTAAAGACCAACACATAACCACAACCTCCAGAAACGAGAGCTTCAAGCAGTTCCTTTAATTGTTATCTATATTTTGTGTTTGTTTGTCTACCTATAACATGGTCGCTCTCTATTTGGGATTCTAAACTTTAACTCTATGTTGCCCCTCTAAACATTTTTAATATGGAGCTTAATGGAGAAATGCAAAAAGTGATTTTTTTTGTGCAAAAAGCACAATTATTACACCGTTCATAAGAATCATAACTGTTATAAATGTGACTCAAGTTGACATTTTTGTCTCTTCTTCAGTGAACTTGTAAGTCACATATGGACATCATGATATATTCTACTGGATAATGATTCACTTCATCACTCTCTGTCCATTTAATTCTGCTTATCTGAGGTCGGGTAGCGCAAGTGCAAGTGCAGTAAGTCGACCCAGACTTCCCTCTCCACAGCAACTTTTTCCATTTCCCCCTGGGGGATTCCGAGGCGTTCCCAGGCCAGACGGGACATATAATCCCTCCAGCACCTTCGGGGTCTACCCCGGGGTCTCCTCACAGTGGGGCGTGCCCGTAAAAAACCTCCAAAGGGTTTTGTTACACTCTGTTGTTATATAATCACCTAATGCAAGCTACAATCTTTTTGTTACTATAATGAGGTTTTATTTTAGGTAAGCATTTCCATCCAACTGTTTTATTATTATGCAGAAATAGAAAATTTGCACAAAAGCACATATTATGCACAATGCATAGCATCAAGTGGATTTTGTTGTTGGGAGCTAAAGTTATAATTTTTTTTATTCTATGTTAAGAAAGGGGATTAATTTAGTTGTCCAATCATACACATTGTGCACATGGCTCATAGTGTAGATAGGAGTAGTCACATTGTTTTCTATTGCTTCACGTCCAGAGGATTTACGCTGAACTTTCAAAATTAGCCTTCAGCTCTTGTTACTCAAACGTGGAATAATTTACACTTAATTTTCATTTTCACTTCACCTCAGTGAGGTGTGCAAAGGTTTTCACTGGGTATTGTTCTCTGTGGTTTGCTTGGTTTGATTTGATTGTGCCTTTTTCTTTTTTTTGTATCCGTACTTCTTCGTAAATGAGAAGTCCTCGATGACTTTGGCAGCTTAAATAAAGGTTAATGAAGAGGCTGAAACAACACCTGGATGTGGTTCTCCTTCAGGTTGGAGATGACCTTTGCCTGGTCTTCATTGAGGACTTTGTACAGGATGGCCCGTCTCTCGCTGTCCTTCTTGAGCAGGAACAGACCGCCGTCCCTGTCCTCGGGGGAGGCGGGTGCACTGCGGTCCTCTGACACCGAACCTTCATCTGGAACACTGCAACACACACACACACACACACACACACACACACACACACACCCAGACAGGCACAGTGTGATCCGACTGCAATATAATATAAGACATCTAGCACAGAACTGATTTACAGCTGTGTGACGCCGTGTCCAGTTTATTTACAGATACAAGCCTCTCCTGGCTACTCTGTGTGCTCAGGAGAGTGCAGAGACAGCATGAGTCAGCAAGTGCACACATATACACACACACACTTGTCTGTGCACACGCAGGTGTGTGTATGTGTTTGTGTGTGTGTGCCTGTGCGTGTATGCTCAGTGGCAAGCCAAAGCTCATAAAATGATCAGAGCTCATTACAGTACATCCGAGTTGTTAAAGGCAACGGAGCGCACTGTGAGCACGATAAGACCACCTGTCACAGAAATACACACACTTTAACGCACACTCACACACATTCACATCATTTCACACATTCTGTACTTCGCCCGCTGGATTTTTCATGCGCTTAACCATAGTTAAGGTAGTATACGTGTATATTTTGCATTCAAATTGAGTCTGACAGGTTAACATCAGTGCTGCAGGCAGGAATATATTTTTGAACTTTCTGTAAAGCAGCAGCATCTGAATCAAAGAATATCCAAAATATTAAAGAAGTCTGAGCCTCACCACTAAAAATGAGCACCCTGTAAAATGTTTAGACTCAGTTCATCTGGATCAACTCTATACGAACCTCAGGTAGTTGGAGTTGGGGGGTTTGAGTAGATTCTCGGAGCCGGAGTTTTTCTTTTTCTGGAAGAAGACGTCGTGTTTGGAGTCGCAGTCGGGGCTCACGGAGCCGTGCTCACTGCTGCTGCTCCCGGCGGCCTCGCACTGCAGCTGAACGGGCAGAGAAACGTTGTGGATGTAGTCTGCAAAATCATCCAAAACAAGAAGAAGACATGTGTGAGTCTGAGAAGTTAGTTTAATATGTCAACTTATAAGGAATCTATTTCTTTCGAAAACTTTAATGTAATCTCTTCAATGTTTGAATTTGGACTGCAGTTCCCATTTGAAACGCTAGGTGTCAGAGTTAAATATTACTCCTTTAATGTGTGCAAATCGGATCTTGACAACTTCAGAGCAGACAAAGCCCTACACCCCCCCCTGAGATCCTCAGGGCACCCCACTAAGGGAGGCCCGTCTAAGAGAACCAATGTCTTGAAGGCTAATATCAACAGTTGATTTTGCTTATTGATGCAACCTGACGGTTTGAAGGCGATCTTGCTCTTCTTTCCCTTCGTGGTTTGTCTGACAAAAGTGTCTTTGAGGAGGTCTGAGGCGATGGCTCTCTTGTTGGGGTCCGGCTCAAAGCAGCGCAGGATGAACGACTTGGCCTCCAGTGACAAGGACTCGGGGATCTCTGGGTGGATCTTAAACATGCCCACCTGTACGATAAACACAGTAACACCAAAGGATTACCACACAACAACAATCCCTTTATGAGGAAGAAACACATGTACTCCACACCAACCTTAAACATGGCCGCCTGTGGTTCTCCCAGCTCATGAAAGGGAGGTTTCCCAGTGGCCATTTCTATAATGGTGCACCCCAAAGACCAGATGTCAGCCGGGGCGCCGTATCCTCGAGGGCCTTTATCAATGATTTCTGGAGCCATGTACTGAAGAGTCCCTGTAGGCAAAGAGCCGATAGTAACCACAAACAAACCGTCTCAAACCAGATAAGGAGACGCAATAAAGACACTGAGAATGAGCAAATCTTTGTCTGACTAATAAAGTGAAACTGAGATTTTGATAAGAATGTGTGTGGACAGGTGACAGAAACTGGAGTTTTAGCACAAACACAGATTTTTGACTGCCACAACATCAGATGTGTTATTGGGAATACACGCTTTCAAAGCTGTACACTGAATGCACATTTCAGTAGAAGATGAACAAATTCCACATGATTGAAGTTCATTTCACTCTGAAAAAGACGGCGCACATGACATTTAAAGTCCCAACGATGACCTCAACATTTAGTATTTTTGTCTCTTAGTATTGATCCACAGTCGGCAATGCAGAGACTTAGAATATGTAGTTCTCTCTAAGTGATGATAAAAACAGTGAGAGATGGTGAGCGCTATTAAAAGACTGAGTCAGAGGACAGAGAGGGAAGCAGCAGAGGAGAAGGACACACACACACACACACACACACACACACACTAACACACACACTCGCACACACCTGCTAATGAAAGGTAAACACCCTTCTGCCTCTGCTTGATTAGATAATCTAATTACACATCTCAGTGGCTGCTGGAGAAGGCCAGATGGTCAATGAATGTGCATGTTTGTACGCGTGCACACACACATCGGGACACGCTGGTGTGTGTCTGAGTGTTTCCATAGAGGCTGATAGCAGCTCTTGACATTTTGAGGGTCATTTGATATTTACACTCATACTCCGCAGCATCTCGATGACTCCATTAATGCAGGGAAGACTAAACCACGGGCTTGTGATGTGGCAGCGTCTATTGCAATAAATCCATTTCTGGTGCGGTTTCCTCGTTCTGTGTGAGTCAGGTTGTTTAGTAAAGAGTTCTTTTAATAGTTGAGTGTCTCCTTTTTTGATAGATTAGATTGGTTTATATTTGTTAGAGATGTTGACTTCTTGAAGTCCATTTCGGTTTATTAAAAAATATCATTTCAGTATTTTGAGACTTGGCATTTACACATACAAGTCATACTTCAGTTACTGAGAGGACAACAACGATCTCTATTATATTGTGTTTTCAATAGTTAACAAGTTACCTGTGAATGTCTCTGTACAGGGGTTGACTCCCGCCAACCGCTTAGAGGTCCCAAAGTCTGAGATCTTCAAGACGCCACTGTAAGTATTCACCAACACATTGTCCCCCTATTAGAGAAACAGACAGAAACAAAGGAGCTGTTTACACAGATATGTTGGCACAGATAAAAAAAATATGAAGTTAATATTTAGCCCTCACATACAGCCAGATGTCAACGTTATCTTATGTAAAGTTCAGTCAAACGTCCATTCATGGCCCGGTCTGTCTTTGTCTAAAGGTGTGTGTGTGCGGATTATATACTTTGGTAAAAAAAAAAAAAAAAAACAACAACCAGCCATAATTCGACCTGATGGATCAGTGGTTCTAAAAGTGGGGGTCGCAAAACTCTCAGAGGGGGGAGTCCCTCACTCAGTGCTTAATTCTGTGAATGGAAATGACTTGTATTCTGTTTCTAGCCTTTCTTACAGGAAATTACAAAATTAACAATTTGATCATTTTGAGACTGTTGTGTTACCAGTGAATAGACATATTAGAGTCAATCAATCAATTTTTATTTGTATAGCGTCAACTCATAACAAGTTTTATCTCGAGACACTTTACAAAAAGCAGGTAAAATACCTTACTCTTTGTCTGTTAACATTACAAAAGAGCAGGTAAAAGACCTTACTCATTGTTATGTTACAAAAAGCAGGTAAAAGACCTTACTCATTGTTATGTTACAAAACAGCAGGTGAAAGACCTTACTTATTGTTATGTTACAAAGATCCGGCCTATCCATCATGAGCACTTTAGCAAAGCAGCAAAAGTTACAGTGGTAAGAAAAAACTGCCTTATTAAAAGGCAGAAATCTTCGGCTGGATCCCCGGCTCATGACGAAACAGCCTTCACAGGCCTAGACTGTGCCGGGCTTGGAAGGGGATAGGTGGAGAGATGGGATAAAATGCAGGAAGAGGGATAGGGAGCAAGGGGGTGGGGGGAGGCAAGCCGTCCATCAACAATCCGGTGGGGAGGGGGGTTGTTCTGGCAGAGTGTGTGTGCGGCTGTGCGAAAAGTGAAATGCTTGAACCATCTCTCGGGACAGCGGTGATCTGCAGTTTCTAGCACCTTTATTTTGATGCTCGCCAGCTGAAAAGTTTGGGAACTACCGTGCTAGATCCACGTACGAGGTGGATTTACATCCAGTGATTTGCATTGCTTAGCGTAAACATGTGTCACTTTAGCTTATTTCCCTAACATTGTATGAACATGCATCGCTTCCAGATTTGTGAGAACAAAACACATTACTGAATAAAACCCTTTTTCTAGCAAGGTTTGGCTGGAGAAAATGTTCCTTTTAACTAACAAATGAGAATTGAGATGAATGAAAGATCATTTTTGACCTCTATTTTTATTTTGATTTCAGAACTTTTTTGGGGTGAAGTCTGAACAATCAAAATAATCCTTACACCACAGTGATGCTACACTTGAACTCCATTCCCCGATATTGTTTTTTTTAAAGCGTGTCTTTGTACCTTTATATCTCGGTGGACGATCTGGTTCTCGTGCAGGTACCGGAGCCCCTCCAGGATCTGTCTCGTGTAGAAGATTATCGTCGCCTCCTTCAGCGGGCCCCATTTAGACCGCAGCAACGCAGACAGGCTTCCTGGAGAAAGGAGAGAAGGATTGTCCAAAACCTATCATGAAACGGGAACATGACCAAGGCAGTTAGAGAGACCGCCCAGTAACTGAGACGTCACAAGCATCGATCTCTGAAACAGGCATCATCAGATCTAAAGATTATCTGCCTACGCGCCCTGAAATTAGATCTAAAGTACAAAGCAAACAAAGACTTGATGTGGTGTTTCTTTGATACATTTCTATCTCACCTACAGGGAATAATTGAGTTCTTAAAGAAAGCACTAATAAAAGACTGTTTTACAATCTCCTACAAACACACACCTCCAGGTACTTGTTCCATGAAGATCTTGATGTATCCGTTCTCAGAGACAGAGCCCAAGTACTGGACAATGTTTCTGTGCTTCAGGTACTTGTGAAGGGCAATCTCTTCATGAAGGGGCTGAGAGTATCTAAACACACAGGAAGAAAAGTCAATCCATCGTTCATTCTGAGACAAAACAAACTAAAATAGAAGATACAGTTTTCTAAAAAAAAAAAGAAAACTAGGATTAACCTGCTGTCTCTCTCAGGGATTTCTTTGATGGCGATTCGGACCTGGTTGCTGAGGTCTCTCCCAGCATACACCACTCCATAGGTGCCTCTTCCCAGCACCACCCTGTCTCCTGTCTCATCTGTGTCGTACTCATACTGTAGCACAGAAATGCTCGAATGAGTAATCTGATGTTTTCTGTTAAATACATCAATTGAGCTTCTTTCCAAACTGACCTCCAGTGTATCTCCGTCTCCTTCGCCCTCCAGCTCCACAGCGTTCCCCGACCCGTCTGTTATCATCTCCTTCACCATGGAGCAGAACCTGACGTCCACATCGACAACACAAGCAGCAGCACACATCATAATAACATCGTTATTCCCCCAAGCCACGGCAAGTCGGTGGTCATGTCAAGACAATCGCACAAACGTACAGTACAAACACTAACACAGACAAGCACACACACCTACACAGACACATCTAGAGGTGTGTGTCCTCACCGACCGCACTGCTCTTCAGTGGAGAAGTAGATCTGGAAGTCGTCCGAGTTGTCGTGGACGTAGAGGAAGCAGCAGCGTTCGTCGAACTTACTGATGCTGGAGAGCAGAGGAGTGGAGTTACATGAATCTTTACCTTTTGTTTATAAAAAAAAACATGATCTGAAGCAATGTGGATCAGATCCAAATGTTCTCTTAAACCATCCTTTGAATATGTTACTGGACTTAGTTTGTTAAACGCAAAAAATAAAACCAGTGGCTCAAATCGTGTACGTAACGTTTGCAGTTGAATTTATTGTTATGTGCACGATTTCAGTCATTGGTTCCTTTTTTTTTGTGCTCATAATGAAGATAATTCCAAACTTTGTACAGATTGGAACATTTATTTTATTCAATTGAATTCGACCATTTGATTAATCCCTCAAATTGTAAGGTTGTACATGAAGACATAAACAAACACAGCGATGAACAGACAACAAATACTGACACATACGAGCAAAAATATGGAAGAAATACAGTAATGAATAAAAACTGACTTTAGGCAGACATAAAACAACTGAAGAAAAAACAATGAAATGATCTGATGACCCTAGCTATTCTGTGTAACGCATTGCTCTGGAATAACCTCAAACTCCCCTTTCCTGTTTGCTGATAAAAAAAAAAAACCTTTCCTGTTTGCTGATAAGAAATCACAACTCGATGATTAACTGTTTGAAACTTTGCATTGAAATGTGAAGACAGGACGTCATAAAACCCTTGGAATAATCCTTTGATCTAAATTGGTAAAACAGCACACTTGTCTATGTGTGAACGACCTCAGAATAAACACAACTCAGGAACACAGCCGTCTGCCGAGATTCTTTTTTTTTAAATGTCAGATATTCAACCCTTAATTAATGGGTCAAAATGTCAGTTTTTTTCTTTTTAAGATGATTCACTTGAAATAATCAGAAAACGTGCACGTTCACCTCCATCTTTAAATACATACCTTATGCCTTTGATGGACATTGCGGTGAAGTTCCACTCGTGGATTCCTTTCTGTAATTCAATTCAGTTCAATTAAAAAAACTTTATTTGTCCCTGGGGGGCAATTCAAAGGCACACAGAGCAGTAAATTAACAACAGTGCAAATAGATGAAACATATTAACCTAAATATAAAGTGTCACAGTGTAATGACAGTTTTGTCCAGAACTCCCATTAAATATATTCATATTGGTTATGTTTTGTCTCTTTAAAAGAGGCCAGATTTCCATCCAACTGAAGCCCAAATGTAAACCTCATTCTCCCCAAAATCCAACAAAGACTCTTTTATAAATATCAGGATGTTGATGTATAAAGATTTTCCAAATTTTCCAAGTGGATGAGATTAGTATAATGAGATGAAAACACCGTGTAAAATACAAAGATGGGAAAACTGTGTAGAATATAACTTATTACTACTGGGTTTATTTTTTGCTTTACCAGAAATTTTCTAAAGCCCTAAGTGACCGATAAGTGTCGGTGTAACAATGCAATGATACGTGGTTGAAAGGTACTTGGCTGAGTGGTGATGTTCTCACAGTTTCTGGAGGAGAAACATGCCAGATCGACACGTTCTTCTCTTCAGCCTCGTTATTGATGGACACGTAGGAGGGCTGGTAAACTTTAGTTGGCTCCAGAATCAGCACCTAGAGCAGAAAGATTCACAGGAATGTTAGTGTGCACATCTACATATCTGCATATCTGCACATCGGATTATGTTTCAGAGTTTGTACTGGAAACCGCAGTCGATTGGTCGTTCCCTGCGTGGCCTCTACGATGATGTCCATCCAGAAGTTGAGTCTCTCCCTGAGGGGCGAATGTTCGACCGACTGCTTCTTAAACCTCTGGATCAGCTGCAGGTTCTGAACCACAGACTTTAAATACCTGAAAAAATACACAAAAATTATTATTTCCATGGAACCAAACGAGGACACATACAGTAGAACTGCATCATAAAGGACAAAAAGAATGAAGAGTAACTGTTTCTTTTACATCACACTCCATTTCATAAACATACTTATTATAAAAATAAGATGCATTTCAGTTGTGCTGCTGCATTAAAATACATTATTTTTTAGAAACATACAGTTCCTTAAAACACCAAGGTTCAAGACTGCACTTTTAATGATTACGTAAATGAATTTGAAAAACGTAGAAAAAATAAATATGAATTACTTTACCAGAGAGGTGGCTTCAGTTTGAAAAGCTTCTCCGCAGCCTGAGTAGCTTTAGGGATGTCGCTAGCTAGCATGCTAACAGTGAAAAACTGGCCGATGTCCCAGTAGTTATTCATCTTCTCCAGCGAGCCTTTGCGCCCAAGCAGACTGTTCAACCGCACACCTAAGACAACCGATTACACACGTGAAAACATCGTGGAAAATTCAACCCATTTTATTTTTTTATTTCATTTTTTACATTAAACTGTTAACCTTAAGTTGAACGAGTAAGTAACGTTTCTGTAGCCAAATCAAAAAATTGTCCTCATGTGTTGGAAACTAAACTGCCATTAATGCATCACAGATACAGTACACAGGAAATAAACTGACTCATGACAAAAGTTCCAACTGAACAAATAAACCTTGATTCGTCCCGGTTTGTGGCAGGATTTCATAAAGTCAAGTTGGTGTCGGGTTCAGGATATTCTTACCTATTTTCCTCAGTTCCATGGAGCTCTCAAACTGTTGGCCAGCAACTATGAGGAGGACTGCGAGATTGATCCCCGAGTAGAGAGTGGGCTGCAGCTCAAAACCCTTTCTATACCTGCAGGTGATAAATGTACAGTAAATAATTAGATTCAGATCTTCAGCATTTTAATCCAGAAAGATAAGATACATTCATAATAGAGTTAAACGAAGTTGACACTAAGTGTGGCTGCTAATCAAACACATTGAAACTATAATTACTTAAAGAAACAGACAAAACATATTCTATAAAGTGCAGACTGTCTCACCACTGTATGGCGTTGTCCCTGTTTTTAGTGTCTTTGCAGTCTGAATCCAGAAAGATGTCCTTGTATATCCGTCCACAGAGGCAGAACATGTCCGGCGCAGGATGTTCACACGACTGCAACACCTGCAGCATCACCTCGAGAGCCTGCTCCCTGTCTCCAGGACTATTTCTCCTGCACATATACAAGTTTATCAATAAATGCAAGGAATACTTTTAATAGTTATACAGCGCTGGGTTCTTAAGTTAGCTGAAATAAGTTTAGAAAGATTCATTAATTCAGTCCAAAGATCAAAAATAAACTCTTGTGTTTGACTGTAATTACTGATCATATTTACAGGCTAATGAAATTAAAAGTTCAATCAGTGATTTACCACACAACTTGACACACAAAGTAAACATACAGGTGGTTTTAAGATGACTAAACGTTACTATAATACTAACATTGAGTCAAAAGCTGAGATGGAAGCTACTATTCTGCTAGCTAGCTTCCATTAGCAGGAGTTTAATGTTGTGTAGCGATGCTCTTCATCATGACAGGATTTAACGCTACAAAAAATATATGTAAAGCTAGATTTTATTATTTCAATAAAAGTAATAACATGCATGATAAACATAAATATCGTATCCAAATATGTGACTGAAAGATTGTATAACCCCAACAAATAACACAACTATGACGGGAGTTAAAAGAGTAAGATTTCAGTGATTGCTAATTTAGCAGTTAAAGGCTTTATATGTGATTTTTCACACTTAAATATAATATAAATCAAGTATATCCTCTGAAAATAACTCTGTGAGTCATGACTGTCTACAATGGGTGTAACACCCGAGTCCCACTGTCTGTGATGTTTTCAGAGTTTTCAGAGTCCTATCTTCAGTTTGTTTACATCGCCAGGACGGCCGGCTGACTCCTCCCCTCATGTATAAAAGTTGTTTAATTGAGGGACTAGAGAAAAGAAGAATAACATACTGTACTCACTGCTTAACTGTGTTTCTAGATCACACTCATTTCAGGTAAATTTACATGCAGTGTGAAGATACCAGCATAATAAAGATCGCTAGCATTAGCATGCAAACACAGCAATGCAGCGCGAGTTGTTTTGGTTTAATGCTGGTGCTCAAGGGCGACATCTGCTGGATCAAAAAAAATCACATATAAAGCCTTTAACGTTAGCTAGTGAAGCACAGCTAGTGTTTTCTTCTAGTTAGGAAGAAATGTAACCACTTCCATATTTAGTTAAAAAATTATATTTTAAACACAACAAGAGCTTAGTTAGTTTTATAAAGTTAGGCCTAGGGAAAAAGAGATGAAAACATATCAGGTAACGCTTTAGTTAGAGGCTAGCTGTGGTAAAATCCAGCCTCAGCGTACCTGTTGAGGGCGAAGGCGTAGTGAAACTGGATCATGGGCTGGGTGGCCAGATCACACGTCGGCAGCATCTCCAGAGTCTCCACCAGCTTAACCATGGCATCGTAGTCCTTGGTGGTAAGATATGGAATAACGCCTTAAACTTACATGCAATGCAATTGTGTTTATATTGATCCTATAGTGTTTCTCCAAATGAAGACAGACGTACCTGTATGTCCCTGTAGGAGAACAGCAGGTTCATAACGATGTCCTGGGTGAGGACCTCTGTGTTGTCGATTCGTAGTTTGATTCGGGAGAGCTCCTTGGCGAGCTCTTCTCCCTGGTACTTCTCTCGGGCCTTCCTGATGTCATTTAGGAGGGTGTCCTTAAAGGAAGCACTGCAAAACACAAAGAGACAGTGACAGTAAAAAAAAAGACAATAACATGCAGGAAGTAGTCGTAATAACAAAAGCCTCTTCTCTTCTTTAAAATCTTTAAATCAGGTGAAAAAACAGACCATGTTTTAAACATTTTCTACACATAACTGTTCAATAATGACATATCAACATTTTTGTTTCTTCCATTTCCCATCTGCACAGCTGTCCCAAGAGTCAGCCTCTAGTCAGACACTTTAATGACCACCTCAATTACTTAAATAGCACCTTCAATTTAATCTTTGCACTGCCTGTTATTTAACGTCTGTTTTTTGATAATCTGCTTTTTAAACATTGCTGTACATATATAATATATAAAACAACACAACTTCAGAAGGTCAACACTTTTTTATTTTTTATATTCAGGTCTAATTACAGATTTTTTCCTCAACTGTTTATAGGTTCTTGTTTAAATTGCACATATATTTTTATTTTTATCCCTGCACGGGTTATGTACATTTCTTGTATAAGTCTATTTTTAATTGCACAGTTTAAGTTTGATTCATCTAGGGGTATTCTTTAAATATTTTTTCAGGTTAATATATATGTATGGCAGGGGGAGGGGCGTCGGTTTTGTGGTTTAATTTGTAACAAATGTTTCATATCATGTATGTCTTTTTAACCTGCTACTGGATGCTTTGAACTTCCCTCGGGATCAATAAAGTATCTATCTATCTATCTATCAAAGTCAACCTTTTTTGATTTGTCTAAAAGCAAAATCAATGTTCTCTCTTTGTAATGTGTCTTCTGCTCCATTAGGTTAAGACACACGCAGCCACTCTAATTCAAAGCTGTCAGTTTGGGCCCTTCGAGACGCGATACCAACCACGTCTCAGGTGAATGAAATGTTTCTTCTGTTTGGTGATGATGATGCCTAAATGTGTCTCACCAGGATGTGACGTGGATGTCCTTCAGCAGGCTGGTGAAGCGGTCGGTCAGGGGGACGCAGAGCGGCCCCAGCAGGTTGTCCCAGCTGGGCTGCATGTACTCACTGGCCCTGCGCTGAGCGTCGCTCTCGCAGCACATGTACTCATGGTTAGGAGTCACTATGTAGGGGATGAAGTAGTAGTTCCCACTGGATGCCTGGAAGAAGAAAAGAGGGGGGGTGTTCACGTCAGGAAGACTGTTTTTTGTCAAGGAAAAGGAGGACTCAGGTCTGGATTTTCAGTGCTGGAGATACACAAGCAAGATGCTGTTGCCAGGTGTTAAAGGAATCAAGGAAGGGAAATGGATGAAGAAGGTAGAGATTGAAGAAGGGATCGGTAAACAGAGCATAAGGACACCACTGAGATTAGTCATCATGACCACTTCAGCAAAGATAAGTTGTGTTATTTATGTCTATTTTTAGGGTCACTTAACACCTCTGATACATCCACCATGTCTGTGAGTCATTTCATTCTTCTTCTACTCTGTGAGTTGCATGCTGTCACATCCCATCGGGAGGTCAGTGTTTTAGCTCCTTCTCCATTTTCATTCTGAAATATTGTTATTATTAGTTCCTCAAGGTATCTCCCATCATGCCTTGGTGCAGCATGGTACCTACTTTATTACGCAATCCAGAGCCTCTGTACTCTGGAGGCAACTGAACCCAGGGAAAACCTATGGCTGGGGGACGAGAGGCCTTCTACACACGCACATAGAAACACACACAAACACACACAAACACACACAAACACACACACACACGGACAAAGAAAAGATATATAGAAAATCTGTCACTACGATAAATGGGCAATACAAGCGCAAGTTTCTATCTGGGGACCCTGGCATGCATGGCTTTGATTGAGTGTCCGAGCAAATGTTCAAGGGTTTGTGCAGAAGAGAGAGAGAGAGAGAGAGAGAGCATGTAGATATGCATTCCTGCATGCATTGCCTGAGAGTACCACCAGTACTTGTCTAAAATATTATTCCAGAAATAGCAGAACAATCTGTGTGAGCATAAATCACTGTGAAACACACACACACACACACACACACACACACACACACACACACACACACACACACACACACACACACACACACACACACACACACACACACACACACAGAGAAACTTACTGTGTTCTTCTGTGCCACCATGTCCTGTAGGGAGATAAAAAACAAAGAGCCTGTGAGATCAGATTTCAAGACTTGAAGTCAAAGTCAAAGTGTGTATTCTCGAGGCACACTTGAGTTGTATCTTCTCATACTTGGAAACAGCTGTTTCCTCCTGGCAACACAGTGCAGCCCTGACTGGACTGCACACACACTGACCACATGCACACCAACACTCTCACACACACACACACACACACACACACACACACACACACACACACACACACACACACACCACACACACACACACACACACACACAAATACAGACTGTAAATAACTGTGTGGATCACTTTGTTCTAAAGAGGTGCACAGGAATGGCATGCATGAACTCTAAATACACCAGCAGGGCATTCAAATATGTATTTGTGTGTGTGTGTGTGTGTGTGTGTGTGTGTGTGTGTGTGAGTGTGTGTGCATGTAGGTGTGTACCTTCAGTGACTGGGCAGTGTCAGGGTCTGTGTCATGGTATAGGATGACGTTGTTGGCCATGTCGAAGCTCTCCCTCACGCCCAGATGGTAAAACAAGGAGGGCTGCCGGAACACATCGCTCATGTCCACAACCGCGATGTCTGGAAGAACGGAGGCGAGGAGAAAACACAAAGAAAAAAAAATGTCTCTGAGCACATTCTTCAAGGACAATGGAGTCAATGTCTGAAGAAGTGACCCTAAAACAATAAAGTGACCAGAGAGCACAATATAATACAATATGACACAACACAACACGATATGAAACCACACAATACAACACACACTACATAAGATATGATACAACACAATAAAGTAATATGGACTTTATTGTCTTCATGAGGGACTCTCTGTTGGACTCAAGTGCTTTACACCTTTTCCTGCATTCACGTAATAGATTCAACTGTAAAAACAAACCAATCCACATGTAAAGTGAGCAGCATTTATCACTGACAACCAAATACGACATTTGCAGAAGTTGAAAGCTTCTCGTTTTGGAAATAAAGAAACTGTTATCAGCATGACAAGTCGTGAAGAACGACAAAGAGCTTCCAGTTGTCTTTCATTGTGTGTTTTTTTTTTTGTTCACTCGGGTAGTTTGGAGGTCCTTAATTTCCCTTGGCGCATTGTAAGAGGATTAAAAACAAAAGGGATAAAGGTAATTATCCCTTCTAGTTTTCTCTTATCTGCATATTTTTAACAACAACAAAAAAAACAGAAACAAGATGAGGAAGAAAGACTCAAACATACATAATGATGTGAGAGTTAATAAAGAAAAGATGTCGAGAAAAAGGGCGTTAGGGCGTTATCCCGGTGTACAGAGGCTGAAATCCTCAAAGCAGGCAGCCCGGGTTCAAATCCGACCATTCCCCACTCTCTATGTCCTTAATGTCCGACTCTATCCACTGTCCTATCTCTACAATGAGGGCATTAAAGGCCCATAAATAACTTTTTGAAACAAATTTAAAATGAATATGACTAGTTGAGCTGAGATCCGTCTATTTCAGTGTACTGAAGATGCTGAATTTGCTTTTTAAGTCACTGTAATTGTCAACATGCTAACATTTATAATGGCAGCGAGCCAATATCTAGCAGGGAAAGCACACTATGAGCTGTCTTTGTTTACCGTGTCTGTACGCCTACACCTGCTAAAAAGTGCAATAAGATTAGGCTCAGAGAGGAAGAACAACACAACCAAGAGGAGAGAGGAGTCAACAGCATCAGTAAACAAACAGCTTTAAGTCTGATCGGCCACAGGTGCTGACAGGCAGCGCACAGAGGCGTAGCACAACATCTACAGTTGAGAGTGTCATGTCAGGGCATGAAAAGTACAGGTTAAACAGTCCCTGCCCTGCATTGCACCTAACTGGCTAACTGGGAACCTTTTTTTTTTGCCTGCAATGACAAGTCAAATGTATTTCTCTTCCCTTCATTATCACATGCTTCTACTGGGCATAAACCAAACATTTACCAGTTTATAAGTGTATCTTATCTAAAAGTGGAAGGATTTCCAGGAACTATGACATCATCAGCAAATGAGAGTTTAACTCAAACAGGTGTCTTGATAAATATTATCAGTAAGATGCAACACTTAAGACTTAACATCTATCACAGGTCACGAGGGGTCAAAGCTCAGCAGAAACCATTTTTATTGAATAGTGCTGAAATGTATTGCAACGGTGTGACTTTTGACATGCTCTGATCTTAACTCCTCGTGTTTTAACTTGGTAATTTCTTATCTTAATTACTTTGTCTATTTATTTTATATTTACTTTTTATTTTTATTAATATTATATATGTTTTTATCCTTTAACCACTTGTTTCTTTTTCTTTTACTGCTCTTACCTTCTTATTGCTGTTTATCTTTTGATTTGCTTTTATCTCTTTTAGTTTCTTACATCTTTTTAAATCTTTGCTCCTCTTGGTCTCAGCTTGTGTTGTTGGGTTCTTGTGTTGCCTGGGTTCTTATGATGGTTCTTATGATGGTTCTTATCATGGTTCTTGAGATGGTCAGGTTATATATGTCTGTTGGGTATCGTGCACTTTGGGTTCTTTTCTGTTGAATTGTATTGAATTATTTTTAGTATTTTGCATTTGTTATGTTCTTGCTCGTTGTTTATGTTCTTCTGTGTTTGGTTTAGTTTGTTCTTGTTCTTGCTGTTTGTCAAAGCACTTTGTAAACCTGTGTTTTTAAAAGGTGCTACATAAATAAAGTTATCATTATTATTATTATTATTATTATTATGCTCAATTTATGCATTATTTTGGCCATACTTACAACTATAGAAATTCATAATCTACACAGGTATGTAATATGACAGACTCACCTGCATCGTAGAAACTGTCCAGCACTGATGTCTCTCCAAAGTCCAGCCGTCCGAAGGTGACGGTGGTCAGCAGGGCGCTTTCTGAGTCGCAGGCTCTTTGCAAACACTGCAGCGCTCCGGACTCTGGTCCTCTGGCCATCCCCGCCTTCAGCCCGTCGTTCAGGACGTAAACTACCCGCAGAGAGCGCTGCTTGGCGGGTGGACTCGGGCTGGACACCTCACCCCTCTCCCGGTCCCTCTCCACCAGGCAAACCCCAGCTGAGTGTTCCCCTCCCATGTCGGTGACCTGAGCGCTTTGCCCGGTGTCCATAGCGAGGTTCAGGGAAGTCTTTCTATTTTATCTACTTCCTTTTCCCAGTAAATTTCCACTTTGGGCTCCCGTACTTCCTCTATTGGGTTTCTTCTGTTGTGTCCCGTCGCTCACTTGTTGCGCACCTGCCGCCGGAGAGGAGCGCGTCTGAGTTTGTCCCCCCGCATCTCCGCCTCATTAACTCACATCACCTGCCGATTATCTCGCACCAAGAAGCCCGCTTCACCCACAGACCAGATCCGACCAGATCCGGGGAGAAAGAGGAGTCAATGTCGAGGGGTTGAGACCGACAAAAAGACATCCAAAAAAAGATATGAAATATAGGCTACTCTTTTGATTTCCTCTCGTCTTCACTCTGGTTGAAAAGTTTCTCTCAAGGAGTTTGTTTGATTCAGCAGGACACAATCATGACCGTGCTGTTCACAGCCTGAAATGTCATCCTTGTCTCCCCGGTGGTCTAAATATAAATCTGTTTGTCCGCCTGGTCCACTCCTCTTAAACTGCAGCCAAGTTATGTCCACCACATGGCTAATAAAATCAACACAGGACTGACCTGAAATCATATTCCCCTTATCAAATATGAGTGGGTACGTGGCTTTTGTGACTTACATTTTCATACATTTTGCCTATTCTAAAGATTTAAAAAAGTTAGTAGAGGATTAGGGTCAGACATGAGACATAAATAATGATAGGAAGATTTTTTTCCCATTAGCCTATGCACTTAGAGAATAAGTTGAAATGTCCAGAAAAAAGTTGAAATATTGAGAATTAAGTTGAAATAGGGTACTTTTTTTTTTTTTTACTAAATTGTACTCAAATTAAGCCTTTCTTTTGTATCCATTAATACTTAAAGGTGTCTATTTCTAGCTAATGGTGTTGTAAGCTAGAGTGCCTGAATGCTTACATTACTGTTAATAGCTTTATAAAAGCATAGCAAGTGTTTAAATTGCTGTAGTTGATCTTAGCCATGGGAATTGTAATGCTAGCCATGGGGAATGATTACCCTTTAAATCAAGTAAATATTAATCTTTATGGTTTTGATTTGAATTGGCTTACCAACAGCTTTTTAATGATGTGAATTTGCTGTTGTCCAGCTGACTCATAATCATCCAAATCTTCCTAAATGAACTATCAGGACGTACTGAAATTCTGCTTTGGCTAGATATCTACTTCAAACATCCATATTCATGACTTCTAGTTCAGCACAGAACACACAGGCTCTTCTTAATTTGGTATAACATGATTTAGAAGGTAAAACAACCAGAGAGTATTTAATGTAAACTGTTGTCCAGTTTGTTTAAACTGGTGCAATGTTGTTTTACAGCATCGTCATGGTTTTTGACATAAAGCCTCAAAGGTCTACAGTCGACCCTTTTAGACCACACACATGCTGCATAAACAGTCGTGATTGGCCATTATTTAAATGTCAAAGGGATTCAGAGTTTTCTTGTTTATATTTTAGGAAGAAATTGAATCTTCTTAAATGATATTTTCAATAACAAAGCATTAAACATTTCAAAACAAGTGGATGTTGCAGAAGTTGAGTTGCATTATGTGTTCTGTCACATATTCACAGATTTGGTCTGTTTCTTTTTTTTCTTTTTTTAAATAATGCTGATGCAGATCTCTTGCAGTGGTTTCAATGGTCGTTGAATCTGAATCAGCAACTTTCACTTCTCTGTTTACAAAGACCTTTTTTGTCTATCTGGCAATCACTCTTTAAAAAGTATTGACGAAGGAGCAGTAATTGCTTGAATAAGTCTTGTAACGAGCAACAGAAATACACAGATTTCTTCCTTCGCTGTCTACTACACACAAACTTTTTTTTCCCCCCCTGGCAGATATTTGAAGAACTTTTGACATTAATAAAAAAAAACAAAGTAAGCGCACATACAGTACATAATAGCATCTTTATTACACTGAAATATAAAAGTATATATTTATCACTATCCTGGAGAGAAAGGACCAAGTCAAGAAAACAACTTGTAGCCTCAGTTGTAGCAGTTTTCTTGTTGTCATACGAAAGAAAGAAAGAAAGAAAGAAAGAAAGAAAGATAGAAAGAAAGAAAGAAAGGAAGAACAAATATTTGGAGTCAAAACAGGAAGGCCACAGTGACGGGTTGCCATAGATTCTGTGCACATATAAGGAAGGGAGGCAAACAGCCGTACATGCAACCACACACACACATGCACACACACACACATTTTTCTTCATTAACCTGTGAGGTCCTTTCAGTGACTACATTCCTCAAACCCTGTCTTTAACTTTTCCCTGCTACCAAAAGAGCACCAGGAACATCAGATGCATATGAACAACTATTTTGTTATTTTGGGGGATATGATGCAACCAGCACAGTTGTTTCTTTACGTTTCTGGAGTCATGAAGCAAAAATTCAAAAGCAAAAAGATAAAATGATACGTTTTTTGTCCGGAAGGCAATACTCTTAACAAAACAAATAAGACATATAGGGTATGTGCACACAGTTTCATGTGCTTTTCTGTGCATAATCTTTTTTTATCTTTTATTTTCAGTCAAATTTCTATTTGAATTTTGTCAAATAAATTATATCTACTATGCTAAGCTACTGAGCTGCAATCAATAGCTGAATTGAATACATTACAGATCTTGTGATATAACTCCCAAGGATAACAGCCACTTTCCCGAAATGTACATTTTGAAAATAGCACCTACAGTAGGCTACAACTTGTCATGTTGATAGGATTTTCATTTCATTTTAAAATGATGGAGGAAGAGTCATGATGTGCTTTTAAGTTTAACCTCCATATAGCTAAAACATTTAACCACAAATTTATGATACTAAGAAGAAAGAGCTGCAGGTAAATTAATCAACGCTTGTTCTGATGCTTCAAAATCACCAGCCTGCAGTGTACCACAGAAACATCAAGGTCCATTGTGTGTCCATTTACACTAATGCTAATGATGTGCCTTCTTCAAGTGTAATGTTTTGATCAACCAAAATCCTAAACCTTACAATAAGAGGTCAGGTCTGGCCAAAACAACCTAGCTTTACAAAAGGTCCCCATTATGTTGGATTAAAACTCCTGTCCCCATTTTGTAGGAAAAATAAGAACTCACTCTCTCACACACACGTACTGATATGAGGCAAAGGCCGCAGAGTGGACACAGAACAGCACAGAGGTCGTCTGAACCAACTGGGCTACGGATGTCGATTTTTCCGAGTTTCCTTCATACTTCTACATAAAAAGTACCAGTGAGACCGCCGAGGCAGCCGTGACATCATTGTGGCAACACACACAGCCACAGGACTCGGTCAGTCAGTACCAGTGGCACAACAAGTAATCGGCAAGATAGCAGTAAACTTAACAGAGAAGCCTCTTTAACAGAAAAATTGAAAGAAAGAAAAACACAGGATAAGGCGGCATCGGGGGAGGGGAAGGTGGCTGTTTCAATATTGATGTGTTGTTGCTGATGTTGACCTTGACGATCATTTGGCACAAACTTTGTTTTGGCTGTAGTTTCTCGGGCCAACAGTGAGAATGTTTTCAAACGCTGGCCTCTGATGTGTCGGTCATAGTGCACTGATGATAATGATATATTCTTCATTTTGACAGGTTCTTCTTTATGTGCTCTACTTCCATCTGTCAAACAAAGAGATATGAGGTTGTTTAAGTTCCTGCAATAATTGGTATTTAATTGCTGCCTTTTACATTTTATCTAATCTAAATTTGATTTGTTTTCAGGCAGTGTTTTACAAAGAACACAGGTTATTTATAGACCAGGAAACATTTAAGAACTCTTGTTTTGAATTGAGAAAAAAATAGGTGTTGGAAGGAAGATTTTTTAAGCATTATAGTACTTTAAAAATGTATGGATGCAATAAACAATGCATTAGAAATACCTTATTTCTAACTATACATGATGAGTAAACTTAATTTTGCTGAACATGTCATGATAATTTATGATTTTTAGGTTCATTCTGTTGCCATTTCTAAAATATAATCACAAGTGAAGTAATACATGCAGAAGCAAAATGCTTGTTAGGTACATAATGTAGGATATTTTTATTGTATACTTTGATTTTCATAGCTCATTTATTCAATTATTGCCTCGATTTTTTAACCTTATAAAGTCAGAATGGTTGGATTAATGTACATACAGACCCAGAACTCTGTGCTGACCCTCACCTGTAAACTAAGACGAATCTTCTTCTCTTCATCTAATGCGTTCGACAAATGCTTCATCTCCTGCCTGAAATACACAAAAAAAAAAACACACATCAGCATAATGACTCTTACACACTTGTACGCAAACACCTTGGTGTGTGTTGTACCTGTGCTGGCTCTTCAGCAGTTCTACAGAGGACCTCAGGTCTCTCAGCTGGTTCCTGAGTTCCTCAAGTGTTGGGGGGGTCAGAGGTGAATGGCGGAGCTCGGGGGAGGGGGTCAGACCCGAGGAGGAAGACGGGGACACAGGGCGCTGGCTGGAGTTCGGCGGGGTCAGGACAGAAGGCTTGACGGGCAGTGGTGCTTTACAGTCAGGTACCTGAAGGCAAATAAAGACCCAGATCGGTCATTTTAAGAATTTAGATGTTATATTTTAAGGTTAGGTCATATTGCCCTCAACATATGTGACCTTAACTGTTAGTGGTGTTTTTTATGATTTTGAAGAGCTGGCAGAATTCTAAATTACAGATAATCACAGAAAATAAGTTTTCTTTAAATATTACCAATTCCAGATCAAAATGGGAAAACAATTTGTCATACGGTACATTGTGAGATATTATAAAAAGCTCCAAACAAGCTATAACTGGATATCTGCTAAGCACGATGACATGTACAGTCGTGGAATATATTAAAATAGCCACTTTTGACTGGAAGACCCTATTATTTTTTTCATTTGTAAATGCACTCTAGCTGTAATGTTTACATGCAAGCAGTTAGTCTGTGGATCAAGTGCTGATAAGAGCAAAAAAACAATATTTTTAACATTGCTCTCAAACATGAAAACTGTGCTCTGC